GTGTGTGTGTGTGTGTGTGTGTGTGTGTGTGTGTGTGTGTGTGTGTGGCAATGAGACAACATATGAGGAGACTCACGTAGGCACTATCCCCGTGCTCCTTTAAGCTACCTTGTGACTACTGTGTAAATCACATTGACATATAGACAGGGCGGGGCAGGGGGGCAGCTGTACAGAGATCTAGGGGGAAGTATTTTGTACCCTCCCAAATCCCCCACTCTTCTGTGGAATGTAGGTGGGGGGGTTTGGGTGGGTAAGCGCAGCTGTCAGAGGGACGTAGATACGTCGAACACAGCCGAGGTTGGAGGGAAGGGAGGCTGTGGTGTGAGGGAAGAGGAGGGGGGTGATCGTAGATGTGAGGGTCGATATGATCTCGAGAGGGTGGCCTGGCAGGTTTAAGAATGCGGCGATTTAGCTCGGTCGCGTGATGCCGTCGTGACACAACACAGTGAGGACAGTTAGATTCTGTGACAGTAGCACGCGCCGTGTGATGTTGCACAATACACGAAGAACAGTGTGAGCGACAGCGGAAACAGAAACGGCATCAAAGTTTCCTTACCTGGTTACAAGTGCTGATGTCTACTCCATTTTTCAGGAAGTCGAGGACTTTGTCGATGTTCCCCGCTCTGGCCGCCCGCAGGAAACTGGTGTTACTGTCAGACTGGAGGGAAGAGAACAGAGAGGAGGCTAATATTAGCAACAGGAATGCAAATGCTTTTACATTTTTTACGCGTTTGTTTTTGTCAGATCTGCATTTTAAAAGTTCAAGTCGATCTAGAAAGATAACAGGAGCTTATTTTTGTTGTCAATGACTTCCTGCTTGTGTCAATAGTTTGTCTGAGTCGGCTATTCTAAATTTAACTGCAAGACATCGGCTGCACAAGCAGCTGCAACACACACACACACACACACACACACACACACACACACTATGTTTTGCTGCATGTATGTGCCCACAGAATCTTAAGCTACGCACTGAATTTCTCAATAATGTTGCCAGCATGTACTCAGGGAGGATGTGTTGAAGTTGAACAGTTAACCTTACTATCAAAGCTGACCGACACAGTGTAGTGACATCACAGTACATTTAGCTAATGGACCTTCATGTACTGAATATAAAAAAAAAAATAAGAATGTTGAAATAAGAAAAATAAGGGTTAAAAAATACTACATAAAAAATTATAAGATGAAAGTAAGCAGATATCAATCAATAATATAAATCTGCTTGTATACTGAAGGCTACAAATAACAATAGATTTCATTATCAAATAATCTGGGGATTGTTTCATCAGTTATTTATCGAAAACATGTTGGGAAAAATGCACATCAAATTATAATTACTATCAAATACAGTAAGACAAAATATTATACACACTATTATATATTATTTTTCTGTGGATTTGTCAATATTGACTAAAAATTAACAAAATGTATGGGTCGACTATTGTGCTGCACAAATGTGACACTGCTCTTGCAAAGGACTACTGGCTGTAGTGACTTGAGAGAGTGCTGACAAGTTTTTAATCACTTTTTAGTGGTGTTAAGACGGCAACATGTCAATCAATCACAACCGGGTGTTAACTTGTGTCCCAAAAGACCCATCAAACTCATCGTCACATGTCTGGGCTGAGGCCCCGCCCCTGTGCAGGATCAAGGGTCAAACCTCTCACACACACTAGCAGCAGCAAAGAGATTAATACAATATGCTTCCTTAAACACGTCCTCAATGTAACTGAAAACTCTCCACCTCTTACCAGCGAATCATCATCTTCTGATCCAGAGTCAGCGGCTCCGTAGCCGTCAGTGTGAGGGTTTAAATCGAGGTCACTCTCAGCGGTCTTTAAAGTTTTATCTGATCCACAGGCCTTACATGTTGCTGCGTTGCCCATGGTTACTATCAAAATCAGTCAATGACTCCCCAGCTACACCTAAAAGCTGCGGCCTTTCTTCGCTCACTGTATGGTGTTCTATGGTCCAATCCTTAGGCGAAAGCCTTTCCAGCCCACTTCCCTGACATTTGGCCGCATCAATCAATCTTGCCATCCATTCAATTTGTCCATGCCTCCTGCCAGATCTCACTTAGTTCACTATTACCACCACTCTTCCCTCCTCTCAGTGCCTCTTTATCCCTCGCCCAGCAAAAGACTCCTCAGTCTTTGATACCTCCGCCTATAGGCCCAATCCTGCCTACAATTCCTCCAGCTCTCCCTGACCCCTCGCTGCCTCTCCCGCCTTGGCTATTTTTACCTTCCCAGACCCTCTCTCCAAAGAAGACCACAACCCCTTTGCTGTGAGTACCCGGGGTTGGAGTCCATGACAGCTGAGTTTGAGCCGGAATGGAAGTTGAGCCCGAACACAGTACTCAGATCACCTTACACGGACCTCTGAAAACATTGTTCATCATTGGGAGAATGTAAAACAAATGTGTAGAGATGCCCGATACTGGTTCATACTTTGGATGACAAGTGTATACGCCTCTTCAGATTATAATAAAAATGCACATCATCATAGACTTGCAACAGTGTATGTTTGGTAATGGTCCGTCTATGTTTGCGGGATGTTTTTTCATCACGTCACGTCTGCTTTCGCTGTCTCGTTGGTCACTCTGCCAAGACAACGCACACACAAGCATGAGATTGGCTTGATTGAGAACCAGCTGTAATCTCTGCATCTCTAAAGGAACGGAGGATACTGGATTATACGCTGTACAGTGTTCAACTCAGTATCACAAATATCTCATTAGCAACTGCAATGAATTTGTACACGAGGCCACTAATGGTATTTTGTTGCTATCGTCATGGCCTGCATGATGACTTTAAGCACACACACAATATATATTTGATTCGGGCAAGTGTTAGTGTTAAGCGCAGAGTCGATCCAAATTAAGAGTGTGTGTCTTTCACTGAAACTTAAGCCACTTGATCTCTTCGGAGGTCATTTCCTCTCAAAAGACTGACTATTACCAACTACTCACAAAGGTGTTGAGAAGATTAGACGCTGCTTTCCCAACGATTAGCTGTACATCTGATTAGCTGGCAGGCATCAGTTAGAATGTTGCTTTAACTCTTTAATGGAACTTCACGTGAGGTGATGTGTTGTACAAAGTGATTACTTAAAGAGGGACAGTTCACCCCAAAAACTATTTTCTGATATTTTTTCCTTCATAAAACTTCTCACAGCGAGGTCTGTTGATTGAGTAACCGGGTCATGAGTTCTTTTACGAGATATTGCTGTTTTTCAAATGCATTTCTTCTTTTGCCTCTTTGAGCACCACAAGGTGAGTGCCATATAGTCCCGTCATATAAGATAGAAGGCAGACACCTTGACGGCGGATATCTCTAGAACTAGGCAATTCACACCAAAACAATCTAGATTGATAAATAGCACTACAAATAAGAGAGGAAATATGTGTGTTTGATTTTGGGTTGAACTGTCCCTTTAAGGTTTGAGGCACAGTATTGAGCGTAGGTCACTTGGGTTTTGGGAGCATCGAACAGACAATCACTTTCATGATGTGCGTGGAAAACGGAAGAAAGTAGACTTGAAGTTAAATAATATCTAATATTTGTATTATATTATATTGAAACTAATAATTAATAGACTCGGCACAGCATTTCTTTGACTCCACTGTGTCCATAACTTTCTTTTCTTCAATCTCCATGACTTTGTCCTTTATACCAACATATTATTGTATCTCAAATATTTAACCAAAAGGTTGTATACCAAAGTCTGATACCACCATGCATGTGACCTCCCTCTGAGCCTTTCTCACATCTGTCATCTACTCCATCATCATCATCCATCTCACTCACAGTAAATGATAAATCATCTGGAGAAAAGCAGCACAGCAGCCGACTGGACATTCAGCCACATCCACATCTGGGCAAGCCCCCCTACAGACCCTCTCTCACACACACACACACACACACAATGCCCTACCACCAACGCTTGCTGTATAATCGTAAGCCCACAAGAGCATGTGGGGTTAAAAAATGGTGAGAAGTACGAAACACGGCACAAACTTGCGAGTGTGATTTTGTCAGAGGATTGTGTATTGTGTGTCCTTTACCTGCCGCCTTCGCTCAGCTTTCTCTCGCTGCCGTCTCCTCCTCTCCCTGGCTTTCTGTAGAGCTCTGTACTCGGGATTTGCTTCGAGCTCGCGGGCTTTCTTCAGGTGTGACGCAGCGTGGGCCATGACGTCACCTTTCTACCTCTTTCCCTCTCTCAAAAAAAAAAAAAACCAAACGTTTCACTCTATGCTAAAGTTTCACTTTGTTGACGATCAAAACTGTGTTTTATTGTATGAATTAAAAAAAAAAAAGAATTAAGCCTCGTGCAGTGTAAACACTTGCTAAGTTACATTAAAAAAGTAACTTTCCCGGAAAGTTTTTGATACCGGTGTTCTAAATAGTTAAAATAAATCCTCCTGACCTGAAGAAAAAATCCCCCAAAATCATGAATTGGCTCTGAAAATGGTCCCGTTCAGTCTTCTCTCCTCTTAGGAGAAAGATCAGGAGGAGAATCAGCCCTTTGTCCCTCCGCATCAAGACAGGAAGCAGCTACTGGATTTCCACGTTCTCACACAAAATCACCCAGAGGTCCACACGTCCATAGATGCTAATTGAAAATCAAACATTCACACTCGTGTGCGCCAAGTATGAGAGAGTAAGATGATGACTGAAAAGAGTTGCTGAATGATGAGTCAGACCCATCCGCTTACTCCCTACATGACACACACACACACACACACACACACACACACACACACACACACACACACACACACACAATGACCCAGTCCAGATGTTAAGTGAAAACCCTACTCTACTCCATGTGAACAGATGTGGCTACAAAAGCATGTTGTTGTGTGTGTGTGTGTGTGTGTGTGATTATGTGCACGTGCATGCATGTGAGTGTTAATGTGTGTATGTGAGCTACAGTCACAGGAAAGTATTCATTGTGTAAGGGGTTTAGGGAGGCTGCATGCCAAAAGGCCAGCTGACAGCCACAGCTACTCTCCTGCTGTAAAAATGCACTCTGTCCTGAGAGAAAGGAGGGACACGTGAGGAGAGGGAAAGGTTAATGGGTGAAAAGGAAGGGGGGAGGCAGGGAGGGATTAGAGGGGGACAGCAGGAGAAAACATTGGAAATGAGGTGAATATTACAGTAAAGCCGTTTTTTGTCGAATGATCCAGTGTCGGTGCCCCCCAGTGGCAGCAGCAGAAAAGATAACCCCCATGGATCTCCTCTAAACGGCTCTCAACATGTCGACGGCTTAGGTGGCTGCTCGCAGCTAACGGTGCTAACGGCGCCAACTAAGGCAAACGTGCTGACAGTTATCAGTGTTAACCTGAAGGGGGAACCAGAGGGTGGGTGCTACGCTTCGGCGGCGATGCCGTCGGTCGGGACGGCGTGATCGGCTGTGACCGTCGTAAAAGAGCAGTGCAGACATAGACTGTAGATAAAAAGTGGACGTAGTCATCGTGACGTCACGCATCGGTTTGTGGACTGTCGTTTTGAAGCCACCATCTTGGATTACAGAATTTACCATATTTGGAATGCGGAGGAGTGACGTTGCGACACCAAATACGGTTCTGGTAGCGGCAGCGACCTGGTAATCACAGTAAGCCCGTCCTAAAGCATACTCTGCTTTATGGTCCAT